AATGTTATTTATAAACCAAACTCGAAACACCCGCCGGCCTCTACCTTACCAACATAATAATATACAAGTTATTTAACCTATTTCATTGCTCTTAACAGACCTACTATTACACCGTTCTTTATCTTTAGAATAAACGCCAAAAATTGCGTCATTTTATAGTTTTTTAAGTGCATAATTCGGGTGTGACTCCTATGAGTACGAAAATCATCAATTTACTGGTATTATGAATGTGCAAAGGCGTAGAGAATATTGTAGGACATGATAATGTAGTAGAACAAATTCTAGTTCTTTAAAAAATATAAATTCGACTCGCTATACTTATCCATTCGAAGACGTGTAACAAGTATGCAGTATAATTACATAGACAAAGTTTTGTACAAACAATGCTCACTCTAGTCTATTAATTAAAGCAGCATGTTACGTTTTTACTCTGTAATTAATGTTAAAGCTTAGCATTTATCGATAATAATTTAAGGAGACATGCTTCTCAAATTGCCGCGTTGCGCCTGATTGCATTTCATTTAGATTGTGTTCGCAGTTCGCTTGAAGATTTTTCCATTAAAGTTATTTGCTATGAACCAACCGTACGATGCAATACATGTAAGTGAGTTTTGTATTTCGAATATTCGGATTATAAGCATTCGATAGACAATTGACACGTGTTCGAGAATTCATTATTGAAACACCATTGGGAATTTGGCATAACGCAATTCACCTCACGATAATTAAATGGAATCGCGTTGGATAACCATTAATTGTAGCTTCGGACGCGATTGTTATTTATCAACGCTGGGTTCGGAGCGACGCTGGGTCCGAGCCATGCATTGCTAATGTCGCATGTCGGTGTGACGGGCGCTCGTGAAGCGTCATTCACGCACATCGTGACTTAATGTCGGTATCATTATAACCTTTACGGTGTGAGATGTATCCTATGGACTAGGAATCATACTTGTATATAACTTTGCCTAAAACGAAATATGTATATACATATGTATCAACGGCAAGAAAAGCACCAGCTTTGGGGTCATGTAACTGAAATTTTGTTTGGAATATAAAAATACACTATGGAGTTATAATTGCAAATTTGACCATAAATAGCATCTAATCTGTTGCTTATTGGCGTTGAACTTGCACACCGGGGCCAAGTCAAACGAGTGCCAAGTATTCATAGTAAACGCTAACGTTGCTTTTGACTTAAGATTAATTCCCTTTATTTAAAAAATCTTGAAACATTTCAAATTTACAATATTCTTAACCTAAATAGCTACATAGTAATAATAAGAATAATTAAAAACTAGACAATTAAAACAAATTTCAAAAATGCGCTGTATTGAGATACTTATTCATTGAGCGAGGAAAGCACCAGCTCTGGGGTCACCGGTACTATCTACCAAGCGCCAACTTACCTAAATCTTTAATTACCGCCTGTGCACTTGAACCCCACGGCCCAAGAGTCTTATACTCCAAAGGGTACAATCAAAGTTGTAGGAAATACTTATATTTAAGCCGCTTTGTTATTATAGAAGAACATATTGTTAGGATCGAAAATGTGAAATCCCACGTCACCACTTGGCGTATTTTAAACGCTATGAGCGATTATCAAAGGAATAAATTTACGGCTACTACTTAAGCTTTTAACCAAAATTACCCAAACGCTTTTTTGCTCCAGGCATGAGATACTGATCTTCGAGCAAACTCCTAAATAATCGTGACATACTAATTCCATGGGATCATGAGGTAGCGACAACCTAACTGCTTATTTTATATTGTTTTATTTTCATTTTAATGAATAAGGTATTTATGTATAGCTGAGTTAAAGACTCAAGTAAATTTGAAATGTAATTTTGAATATACCTCGACTCCGTGCAAATGAAAAAAAAACCTGTGGTTTTTGACGAACACGACAGCAGGAAAGGAATGAAAGAAGGAAAAGTAAAGAAATTATGTATTTATTTATAAAAGTTTGCCACCGCTCGGCACACTGGTACAAAAAAGAAATCAATTTTTAATGTGACAAGCACTTATAGGCAAGCATAACATATACGTAGAGATAATTAAAAAAAAACTAAACGAAAATCGATTGCCACTGGAGAAAGTAGATGCCACAGTAAAGACTTCAAATTATAATAAAATGTCTTTTTACCCACATTAAACACAAAATGAAAGTACAAATTTGCCAAGATAATTATAATTATCAAAGGAACATAGTAATAACCGTTCGTGGTCAGCGTGCGTGGAATCTTTCCGCCTAACTTCTGTTCGTCAGGGCAAAATAAGACAACTCATAATCATTATAATGATTAGTTATCGATTTCAATGGCGTGCTTAAAAGGACCAGCGCTTAAAGGCCGATTACACATTCGCCCGCGGCCATTCTAATCAACCACTAGGGATTCACTAATATCGATATTTAAATTTTGGATATATCCATCGTTACCAATCGATTCAATCGATATTTAAGCCGCGTCAAATTGCAAGGCCAATAGACTAATTCTATTAAAATAATTTTTATTATGTCACATAAATTAAAAGATTATAAAGTGGCGCTACAATCTTTATAGGTCTGGGCCTCAGATTTCTGTATTTGTTTCATGATCATTTGTCAATCTAAGAGGCAAGTAGGTGATCAGCCTCCTGTGCCTGACACAACACTCACTGTCGAATTTTGGATCTAAGGCAAGCCGGTTTCATCACGATGTTTTCCTTCACCGTTCCATCCATTGGTGCACAGCCGGGGATCGAACCTACGACCTCAGGGATGAGAGTCGCAAGCTGGACTAGGCCAACGCTGCTTTAATTTAATCCCCATCACAACAAAATATATCCACTGCTTTTAAGCCTTTTCTAAGTTGATTAAAAAATGTATCGACACATAACTATGCCCATTTGAATATTATCTCGACACTACACAAAATATGCATTCTTAATGTTATGCTCAGAAATTCATATTATAATAACGGTTGATAACGATCTAATTATTATGATGTCCTCCTTAGCATATCCCGTAACTTTGGTCAAAATTGTTGCCAGAATTAACTATAATAAGTATAATTGGATCAACGTTATTTAGATTATTAAACGCTTTTATTACTACGCTATTTTAAAATGTAATATAGTTTTCGGATTACGCTAGTAATTTCCAATTAGTAGTAGTTAGATCTTAAATAGATTATTTGTAAACTGAAGCCTTTAGGTAAAAAATAAACATACATTTAGAAAACCAGTGGAGGTGCCTTTTAAGGCCTGGATATCTGAATCTGTTTCAAGCTTGTTTTTTTCTAATAGGCAAGTAGCAAGTAGTTTTTCGGTCTAAGGCAGTTTTCCCAAAACTTTTTAGTACCATGCCCCACCTTTCTTTCTAAAATTCTTATACCCCAATGTAAGATACATAAGTTTTAATATCTAATATTGAATTGTTCACTTAGGAAACTTAAATGATAATATACATATAATGATGAAAATATATATAGTGAAAAACTGAAATATAATTAAAATATAAATTTTAACTTAACTATCAAACTCAAACTCAAAATATCTTTATTCATATAGGTAAAAAAATACACTTATGAACGTCAAAAATAAGTTAAAATAATTGTAAATTTACATCCTACCACCAGTTCGTAAGTCAAGGGCGTAGAGCGGGCAAGTAGAACTGGCAAGAAACTTTCCGCCACTCTTTTTAATCGCTAAGTTTTGAGTCATACAAATTGTTTGAACTGGAGCAAATCAATCCCAAGGATTAGGATCATTTAAGTATTCGTCAAATTGTCAAAATCAAATGTGGGACGTGGAGAAACACTGGTCTAAGGCATGTTTCCTCACGATGTAGATGATCTCCGATCGAGCGACGCACACATAGACGGAAAGTCTGTTAGAGCTCAGGGATCGAATTGACGACCCACGAGATAAGAGTCACACGCTGAAGCCACTAGACCCACACTGTTCAAACGACAACAGCCATTTAGTTAATTTAAACAAGTGTACCGTCCAATTAAACACTAAACATATTTCGCTCTGTTTATTTAGTCATAGTTCCATCTAGCATTCCTTCCCAAATGTTTGACACGAGCTCGTTCAAATATTTGTGTCAAACATTCGCACGGTCCTGTTCACGTTTAGTTCTATATTTACAGATCTAACTCTGTCGTTACTTTCCTAATAGGAAGATTTTTGATTTTATGAATCATTCTTGCTAAGTCACCTTTCGTTAGTACTCGCGGCTTTTTATTTATTTAGTAGGCAAACGGGCAGGAGGCTTACCTGATGTTAAGTGATACCGCTCGCCCATGGATACTCACAATGTCACTCGTGCGTTGCCGGCCCTTTAAGAATTGGTATGCTCTTTTCTTAAGAGACCCTAAGTCGAATTGGTTCGGAAATGTAATGGGCAGCGGTTCCACATAGCGGTGGTGCGCGGCAAAAACTGCCTTAAAAAACGCTCAGTTGTAAAACGATGGACGTCGAGTTGATACGAATGGTGTTTAGTATTCTGCCTTGACGTCCGATAATGAAACTCAACTGCCATTATTACTGCGAAGTCATAAACCATAGTTACATAATTCTGTGTGAAACTGTGAAACCTAGGCATGTGCTTAATAATGTCTTAGCCACTTTAACCTTATAATAAGGTTAAGAACGTAACGCATTTCACTGAAAGAAACATACTTATGTGTCCTAGTTTAATTGACAGTAAAGCGTTTGAAGAAAACTTGCTTTACCTCACATAAATTATATTTATGAACGAATATTGGTCGAGTCAAAACCTCTATGCCTTGATGGTACAGGTTAGTTCACGATAAAGAACTTTAAGGTTTACGTTGGAGCTCAGATGGAAAGAAAATTAAATACTGATAAATTTATGATTAAAAAAGTAGTTTATTTGTAGAAAGAAGGAAACAACAAACACATAAAATCAATACAATGTTAAATATGAAATAGAAAACTACGGTGTGACACTCCTAATATATTATTTAAAGTGCGAATGACCGCCGCCCGCCGTGATGGACATGCTTCGGACCTCATCAAATATTGACGCTGTAAGGCCATTGGCTGGGGTATCTAGTCGTAATATAACCACGCCCAACAATTACACACCGCCTCCGTGGGTTAAAGTAAGTCCAAGGTTTGACTGGTGATAAGAATTTTAAAGAAGCGGGCAAGAATACTCACATAATATTGAGAGATAGCTCCTGCTGGCGAGCTTGGGGTTCATTTACGGCCTTTTAAAAATTCTCGCTCTTCTTCAAGTAGCATCAGTCCTATTTGTTTTAAAATAAGTGTCGTTTGATGATTTGCTATTTTAAAAGAGAACCGAGAGTTTCTTACGCCGGCTTTTTCTCTCGGACGACACCCTCTGTCTTCTTTGCCGATGAGTAGGGATGCTTACCTATTCAAATTTAATGACGATGAATCTTATATTCCATAATAAACATATTTTTTTTTTAATGATTCAACCTCACCTACACAGCTGATTTCACAGCGTACGCTGTAAAGCATACCTCAAAATCGCTCAAAAGTTGTTCCAACAAAGATGATATTAGAAAAATAAACTCGCTACGAAAGTCACCGTTGACCTGTTTGTATTTGTGTGTTTGTTACCAGTCTATGATGGATTCGATTGGATCAACCCCAGACACTTTAAACTATTTCAGCCTCCATGAGTCAGGTGGTCAAGAACTTGTTAAACTGAAAACTGAAAGTCTTTAAGTTTTACGTTGGAGTTTTATAACTTAACTCCTACATTCTACAATTCAAAGGGTCTACAAAAACCAAAAAAGGTTAGAAATTTAACCCCATGACACCTATTAGTGGTGAATTACTAAGAAAGGAGATACGGGTTAACAAAGAGGCATACAGTATTATTCGGCATAAACACTTGGGCACGAACAGGCAATGAAGCACAAACAGACAAAGAGGCACAAACAGACAAAGAGGCACAAACAGACAAAGAGGCACAAACAGACAAAGAGGCACAAACAGACAAAGAGGCACAAACAGACAAAGAGGCACAAATAAACAATGAGGCACAAATGGAAAATTAAGCAAAACTCACGTTTAAAATGTTTATACCGTCACTATGTAAAAAGTTTGCGAAAACGTTTTCGAATACATATCAGATAAATTTTTCTCCTTCGTTCCTTCGTTCGTGTCAGCCTGTTGACGTCCACTGCTGGAAATAGGCCTCAACCCGAGTTTTCCAGTACTGCCGATTTCCCGCGCTTAGCAACAAACACCTTCTCTCCACCCTCACCAGGTCATTTGCCGACTGGTTCTCGGTCTTCACTCCAGGACTCTTTTGCCCCATAGACTATCCGTACTTCGGGAAATGTCGGTGACTTTAGTCATTCTAAGGATCTCTCTTCATTTCTAAATCGATCGCGTAAAGAAGCTTATCTCGTTGGTCAGTCAAAAAATTTTCTCACATCTATTTAATTATAATTAAAAGTAAGCTATAAAACCAATCAACATAACATTAATACTAATGAGCTAACACCTTCAAAATGTGATAAATGTCTGTTATCAGATTGCAAGGAGATAATCTTAGCGATGTGTCGCTGTCCGGTGATTTACAAATGACACTGTTAAACTATTTCTTTGAAAATTTCTGCTTTTTAATTTGTAATAATAACTGTGTGGTTAGCTTATTTTCCATTTGGGTTAAAGTATAACCTCTTTATATTTTCAATCAGGCTTATATTAAACAAACATTTATTCATAATTAAACAAATTAAACCGATCAAATAGGTTTTAAAGAGTCTCTTTTCGGTACACCGTTAATACAATTTAACGAAAAGAGACATAACAAGAGTAAAAAACAATAAAACACTAATTGAGTTTAAGAAGGCTGCGTTTTAAACCTTCAAAATGCTCAAAGGAGGTTTTCATTTATCGTTAAATATTTATAAAATATTTACGACTGAACGAAGCATTGTTATCTCTCAAATTAATCGCAGAAAAACGGAATTAATAAACATCAATATACATAGGAAGTGATAATCTGATAAAAACCTCTATCTAGCCAAATTTGGACCGGATTTAACAATTGATATTCATTCCTATCTAATAGCATCTCTGACATTTTCTTATCACCTAATGTATCTTTACTACGTCTATTTTAATATATGTATTTTTTTTTCTATTTTTACAGTAACTTAACACTTATACCATAAAATACTTACTAATACATATAAAAATTAAACAAAAAACATAAAAGCTAAACCTTTTTATAATTAATTATAAATAATGCAATTATTGTCATCAATTACGGTCAACAACGAATCAATGTGTTAATTGTAAAGATATTTTTTTTTAATTTGAAGACTGGTTTTCAATTGTACGCAGATTCGTCAATTTAATAATCTCTAGTTATGTTTAAAGTGAACAGTGTTGGCCTAGTGGCTTCAGCTAGCGACTCTTATCCCTGAGGTCGAGGTGGTCGGTGTAGGTTCGATCCTCGGCTGTGCACCAATGGACTTTCTTTCTATGTGCACATTTAACATTCGCTCGAACGGTGAAGGAAAACATCGTGAGGAAACCGGATTGCCTTAGACCAAAAAAGTCAACGGCGTGTGTCAGGCACGGGAGGCTGATCACCTACTTGCCTATTAGATAAACAAATGATCATGAAACAGATACAGAAATCTGAGGCCCAGACTTAAAAAGATTGCAGCGTCACAGATTTATTTATTTAGTTTTAGTTTTCAATTGTACGCAGATTCGTCAATTTAATAATCTCTAGTTATGTTTAAAGTGAACAGTGTTGGCCTAGTGGCTTCAGCTAGCGACTCTTATCCCTGAGGTCGAGGTGGTCGGTGTAGGTTCGATCCTCGGCTGTGCACCAATGGACTTTCTTTCTATGTGCACATTTAACATTCGCTCGAACGGTGAAGGAAAACATCGTGAGGAAACCGGATTGCCTTAGACCAAAAAGTCAACGGCGTGTGTCAGGCACGGGAGGCTGATCACCTACTTGCCTATTAGATAAACAAATGATCATGAAACAGATACAGAAATCTGAGGCCCAGACTTAAAAAGATTGCAGCGTCACAGATTTATTTATTTAGTTTTAGTTGTGATTAAAATAAAATGTGTTCCAATGCTGGTGGTTGAAAGTTATTAAGAAAATTAATCATACCATTGAGTACACTGGCCACATAAGGTTCTCCTGGTATTTAAATTATATGTTATGTATAAAAAAATATTCTTGCAATTTATAAACTAGTATCACGATTAATTGAAGCTCAATGATACTTCATAACATAATTTAATTTAAAAAAAAAGGGTGCGTGTACTTATGTACGCGCGTAAGAAGTTATACTTCTTTGGCTTTCTTTATTTTTTTTAATATAATTAATTAATAATTAATATTTAACGTAAACAATTTAATAATATTTAATATTTATTATATTATTCAATCATTAATTGATATTCATAACAATCATTATTATTATTCATTATTTTATTATATTATTCATTCAATTTAATAACTTGGTATGTTTCATAACCTTTTAACTAAGCAACAATAGGTCTTTGTGAAAAAGCATTGCTAAATTTCTTTGAAAAAATAATTAAAACTCCTTTATTTGTTTAAAAGGTAAATGTAATTATGGTCATTCAAAATTCTTGGCATAGCTGCTAACTTCACGCATATTCTATTTCTTTTTACTTGTATATTGTCTTATTCCCATCTCGCTCGCGCACGCTATAATCACACTGACAACTTTCTGTCTCAGGTGCGCGCGCATCGTAAAATTTCACTCTCATCAACTTTTCATAACGCGCCTAAAAAAGTATAACTTCAAAAATACGTCCACCGTTCGGTTAACGCATAGCGTAAAAAAAAACTTCTAGTTAATTAGATATCCAAATCGCATAATAACATATGTCTGTTCATACGAAGATAACTTAATAGAAAACACCATTTGCACCCTTTTAATTAAAGTCTTGATTGACAAATCTCCAGTATCTGTACGAGGGCCACAACACTAGTTAATACGAAATAAATCCATTCTGATTATAACACCTCCCCTACGTATTGTTTTCCACCCCATAATATCTAATAAACGCCCATAAAACATTCATTCTCCCTCTCTTTGCGGAACACTTTTCACTTGACAGATTGGGCTAAATAAAGCTTTTTTTATTTAATTTAAGAGAAGTCGTAGACTGTAGTGTTTGCTGTGTCCTCTCTGGGTAGTTTTATTGAAACTTCTGTTTGCTGAGTCACCCCACTAAGTAATAATACTCTCTGTTTACTGAGTATGGCATCGTTTTTTAATGAATTGAAGGTAATTAAACTTTGACGTCATAATTAATCTTTTTATATTTGAGACGGTGATTAGAAGAAATGTTTATCTGTTTAACAAATTAAAATATCTGTTACTAGCCTGTCCCGGTTCGCTTTCCTATAGGTGAACTAGAAAATATTCTTAAAATACCTTATTGATAATAAAGAATTCTAATGGTCAAAGATTTTATTCAATCGGTGGAGTAGTTTTTGAGTTTATTCGCCAAAAACGTAAAGTATAACGATAGTGTTCTTCTTTTTAGGTGTTCTATGTCGTTTCATTCACCTCTGAAACAAGAATATTCTTAATTGAATTTCCTTTGGCAACTTACGAAAAATCAAATTTAGTAACTAAATTGCGGGAACTAATTCAATTGTTATTTGGAGATCACTTTTGTTTTTATGGCATTTGTTAACAATTTGTTGCCATGACAACTGTCTAGTTTCCAAGTTTTGACAGGTTAGTTATCAAAAAACGTAATTTTCACATAGCAAAAGTCAATAGGTATATAAAATAAAACACACTTTACGGTAAAAACATGAAGTGACATATTTTGTTGTATGAAAAATTACCAACAGTACTAGCAAAGCCAAACATCAGTTGACGCACAGTTTTCCCCCCATCTATTAACGTTATATACCGTAAATAACCCCTAACCTATTATTTATTCGAATAATAACACATACAATCGATCACTAACATGATTCACTTATTAATTATCACATGGAATTTAACTCTTTATAACCATCTCAATAGAGTTTATAATCCAATGACACCATACCACATTGTAACGTTATCAGTGGCCGGGTGACATCTGAATCAGTGATAGCTAAATATCAGTACGACCTGTAATAACGCGGTAGATACTACTAATTACTGGAATACACGCTATAGATAACTATAGATTACAGAAAATAGCTGGTTTCCACAGCTTGTCTATGTGTGACGATTGTAACTGTGATAATTATCAATAAATATAAATAACTTTGAATTTTTTGTACAATTATTTTATGATATATTAATAATAAGCATCTAGAGGCCCAAATATTAAAATTTCACATGAAAAAACATCAGTAGAACACTACGTGGATTCGAAATGAATCGAAACACAAACATCCAACATTCAAAAAGAATTCGTGCAAAATGAATGCTATGAACATTTCATTCATTCACATTGAGTGAGAAATCTGACTGGACAAAACTGTGGTTCATCTAACATCAAAATCTCGATCAAACATTCCCGTATGCCATTCAATACGTTTTTGATAGCTCAGCGTGGACTTATATTTTTACTTATATGTATGCAACATATAAATATATGTTTTTGTTATATAAATAAAATAAATCAGTGGCGCTACAACCTCTTTAGGTCTTGGCCTCAGATTTCTGAATCTGTTTCATGATCATTTTTAAATCTAATAGGCAAGTAGGTGATCAGCCTCCAGTGCATGACACACGCCGTCGACTGTTTTGGTCTAAGACATGTCGGTTTTCTTACGATGTTTTCCTTCACCGTTGGAGCAAATGTTAATTGCGCACATAAAAAGTCCATTGGTGCACAGCCGGGGCTCGAACCTACGACCTCAGGTATGAGAGTCGCACGCTGAAGCCACTAGGCCAACACTGCTCTGTTTTTGTTATATATACATATACTATTTTATACGTTTAAAAATAACTTTCCTAAGCCGTATTTCCATTCTGAAATAAACAAATACTCTAATGTACGGGCCTGAAAAGGCACGACTTCACCGCGATAGGGTCTTGTACCTACATGGTATGTTGAAACTCGTTCATCCATAATGTAGTATCAAACAAGAGCCTCTAAAGACGTTTCGCTTTGTTTAGAGAAAACACATCAGTGCTCAAACGGAGCATTAGTGGGTGAAGTGTTCCGTTAGGGGTGTCAATGCACAGGCACTTGCCACATTTAAGATACCATTTTTCAATTTTATTCTTCTTCACACAGTACAATTTTACTAAACACAAAAACTGTCCTAAAACATATTTTTGTTCGAAATTTAAATTGTTACAATTTTCCATAGATAAATTTTACTTTATTCCCTTTTGTTTCGTATGAACTGTGTCAACAACTGACCCTTTAAAAATTTACGTATTTTAAATTGTTTTTTTTTTGCACAGAGTATCAAGATAATGGCCAGTTATTATTTGTAACATAGCCAACCCTATAACGTAGGTACTTGGCTATTATTTCTAACTCTACCCCAATATTTGACCAAATCTTTCAACGTCCTTTCGACCTCTTCACTCCCTTTAATCTTTTACCGCCAAAACTTTAAGTATATATGATAAATAAACATGTTTTTATTTGTCATATCTAGTTGAAGTACGGTAGAGGGTACTTAGGAGTATCATTGAAGTATTTCGTGCAAATATTATGTTTGAAATGGAGATTTGAATGGATTGAAAATCCTAATTATACTGAAAAATTATTGAAACAATTTTATTTAAATTTTAACCTGGTACAAAGAAATGACAGGCCTTAAAACGTTCTAGTAAGCATTTTATCGTTAATTTTCATTTCCGTTCGATGCTACGAGTTTATTATAAATTTAACCCTATCAAAAGTGCCTTTCAACGCACATATAATCCATCAAGCAGTTAATGTGCGTCAAGCCATAGAAATTATGTTCGCAACCTCGAACACCAAGGCTTTGCAAGTTTTTGTTTTGATTCGAAGCCTTACTCAATGTATAGACCTTATGTAACTGTGTATGAAAAACTCCTTCTTTTGTTTTATTAAATACTAGACTTCAAAATATATGTGTAATGTTCATTATTTGCTACATGGAAGCGTTATTTATATATTTAAATCTGTAATATGGTCACCTTTGATTACGTTTTGATTATATAATAAATGGTATTTTAGAACAAAATTTGCAGTATTCACAAGCCTTAAAATTTGTCTTGGCACTTAAAGAAGAAAACAATGATTACCTTTGGTTATATGTTGTGAGTAGGCATAAAAATAAAATAAAAAACTTGTGTGTCTAGTTAGATCTTGTTAAAACAGTTCGCAAGAACTGTTCGCATTCTTTGTCAGAGCATATCAGTCTGTTGAAAAATGTCAATATTTTTACTTACCGTCAGCATTGGGAAACTTCCTAATAAATCTGGTCCTAATAAAGTATACGCTTAAAAACGATTAATATTTTACTAGCATATATAGCAATCTAAAGCTATTTATCACAGTAATCGAGTAATTTCATTTGAACTTGATAAATGGTGTTGGAATCATATAACTATTTATATGTGATCAATGCAATATTATGACGCGATAAAAACACTAATCAATAGGATTGCGCGTATGCAGTGCGTGAAATAGATACCTTATAAGTATGCTTGATCATGACAGGAAGTAACTGTTATGATACTAGGGAGTATTGATGTTACTTCGAGTAACTGTTTAGCAATTATTTTTTTATTTTGTGTTATTAAATTACTAGTGTGAATTATTTTAATACTTTTAATTTGTAATTTTTAAATTATAAAGCTTTCGATATAAATTATAAAAAAACACACAGTTATACAGTATGGGTTTTTTTAAGCGGAGGATAAATAGGCAACTTCTGGACAGGTGTACCCTCCTATGGGCCACATTTCACTTAACATCAAGTTCAATTGTGGTCAAACGTCTGTTCAGTTCTGTATAAAAAAAAACACAAGTAAGTGTTGTTTGCTATTCAAATTGTCTAGTATTTTAATTTGATAATTGTGAAAACCCTTTCTTTTTTGACACCTTTATCATGGAGATTAGTGAATTATATTCAGGACCAAATTGACATAATTAATTTGCTTAAAGAGTTTTTGAAATATGATTTCATATGACTTTAATGACAGCTGTTAATTATCGCAGTAACAGTGACATTCTGTGATTTTTAAAGTGCACAACACTCATAACATTTGTTATTGATTTTTATTAATTCTGCTCATTAATAATGAATTTATTACTATCGCGTTTTGTCCTCATCAGATTTGATCGGAGATGTTATCTTTATATCCAAGGTTACATCTTAAGTAATAATCAGATTCTTGTTTAGTCTACTAAACAAATCCGCGACTAACGAAAACGAAAACTATTGAAATAAGAATTTCTGTTCAACGAGGTAGGCCAGCTAGTGTCGGAAAGGCTTATCGCTATATGAAACCAAGTCTACTACTGATTTTTATGCAGTTTTCATCCGTACCTTAGGTATAAAATCATATATAATTATCTAGGTTTACCCGTGCGAATCTGGCACTTTTTTGGCATTCAGACGAGTAAAGATTCAATCAAAACTCTTTCTAAAAGGGCGTTAAATTTTAAATAATGCCAGTCAGAGGTTAGCATGACTATCCCTTTAGGTCGGTGGAAGAAGGTTTTAAATCTTATTTAGATTAAAAATAAGTTTAACAAAGGTATATACAATAAACGTTCTTTATGTAAATAAATTACACATTATGTACACTAACGTTAAGAAGATTTGTTTTAAATCATTCACCAATGAAACTTGCAACATATCAATAAACAGATCAATTTTACCACGGAATAATTGTTATCGAGTTACACACAACACTGGGACTCCCTAGTTTGGGGATTAGGGATTTAAGAATTTTGTCACAACCCTATTGTAAAGTTTTTTTTTTTAATTAAACATTTCGTTCTTGGGAGCTCTCTCTGTTTGCTTGAAAACATCTCGAGATTGATCTCAGGAACTACATGTTCGGAACCAAAATTTTTTTTTAATTGTCCAATTGAAGTAGGCATTACGACCGAATTAATCACGCAATACAGTAAGTAAACGTTGAGAACAATATCTGCCGTAGGGACAAAACTTTTTAAATTGTTTTAATTTTCTATTTATCCATTGTTAATTATTATTACTATGTAGCTTAAGAATATTGTATATACTGAATATTTTTGTTTTGGAAAGAAATACTTATAAGGTATAATATATACTATACCTACTGTACACAATCAATTGTATCTAAATAATCTGTGTATTAACCGTATTATAATCAAGATTGTATTATACAACCTATTGACTCTACCGTTTAACATTCCAAATCCACTGAGACTCAATTAAACGTAAACACTAAATACGTTTATTACAGGAAGATCGTGAAATAAACAGCTCCTTACGGCGGCAATTATTTATTTTTATTATGTGTTGAATGCCATTCAAATTCAACAATAAATATTAGACAGAATGAATGTTGAGTTTTCACTTATTCCGATCTCATTTTTTCTCTACTTCAAAAGAGGTTATGTCCGAACATTATCGTAAAATAGCCTTTATGTTGACGGATAAAGATGCCCACTTATTCAAGAAATTCAAATGAGAATCGACGGTTCAATTCAATGGTTTATATTTTAAAAAATCTAAATGAGTCGTTATGGGGTGATAGATGTCCACATTTATCGCAATATTTTATTCCTATTGACTTAGAGCGTTGAAAGAGCGCTTAAAGAATAGGTAAAATTGTATTTTTTATTAAATTTCACGTTTATTTACACATGCGTCATTGTTGTCGATATATCGTCTTAAAAAGATAACCCTGGAGATAATATGTCTTCACCAAACTAAAGTACCTAATAAGAATAATATTTTTTTACTTATAAATATCCTTCGATTTCAGTTGCTGGTTGGCAGTAGCGGGGCGGGCAATGGTGGAGCGGCAACCTCACCAGACGGTGGTTCCAGTTCCGCCCCACCACTATCACCAGGGGGCTCAGGCGTCGTTGGCGGCGCTCTGTCACCCGGGGCTGGAAGCCATGCCAGTACACCGGCCGCCTCGTGTTGCGATACCCCTCGGCCTATAATCACAGACCCGGTCTCCGGTCAAACAGTTTGTTCCTGCCAATATGATGGGGCTAGACTTGCTCTCTCCTCATATCCTCGGTTATCAAGCGCCGCGGTGGGGGTATACGGCGCCCCCTACCCATCTACAGACCAAAATCCGTATCCAAGTATTGGCGTCGATAGTTCAGCTTTCTATTCACCTTTGGTAAGTTATATTAATTTTCAAAGGCGATACAGTTCTTTAAACCAGACTACATCATTATTGTCTAATTTCCCGAAGGGTTTACGATGTTTTGGCCATCGAATAGTTGTTAATTTTTTTTAAAATGAATATGGCTACATGTTATCGGGATTGCGTCGGAGTAAGTTTTATCGTTTTTTCTCCTCGTTTGGTTTTGGCGATAGCGTGGCGTGCAAGGCATCCAACCGGTCCGTGAGCGCCGGGCCAGAAAACTACCGACACCTCGAAACTTGCGCCGCCACCTTGTCACGAAACATTAATATTTAAACACGAAAATATATTCAAAATACAACCGCCATTATTATACCAATTACACTCCCGCTCAGCCTTGACCACTCGCTTCCAATGTTATACGTATTATTTTTCCGATATAAGTTCTTAGTGTCAATTCGGACCGCGGTTTCGAAGAGTTACGTCAGTTAGCTCCTTGTCTCTAGAGTAGGGGACAAATGAGCGGTTCCCGTGTGTGGGAGTGTTAATCCTTAGAAGGGCTTTGAGCCGTGTCGCTAGAGACCACGGAAAGTTAGAAAAATCCTACGTCAACAACTTATATTTCTGAACAATTTCATATTATAAGATCAAGTCAATTTGATTCGAACGATTTATACACGTAGCACATGTGAAATATACTAAGCCCAGAAAATCCTATCGAACGAAAGATGATCCGGTTTTCGACAAGTGTTGAACGGAAGTTTCCCGTCTTAATCTTGGGAGTTGGAGGCATTTTATAAATCACTTTTCCGTTGTTTTACAACTGATGCTTTTTGATGGTTCAGATTGGCATACAGAATATAATTTAATAAGTTCGTTGAACTTTATAATTATAATATCACCGTGCGCAGTAATTGTTGATGCATCCTAAATCGCTGGCAGCGATCTCTATCTGTCATTGTATTTAACGAGGTTTCTGAGTACCTACGCTCTGTGAGTTGTGACCCCGTGCATGTTTAATAACAGGTGTTTAAATGTATGTACGCTGTCATTGTGTGCTGTGTGCTCATACCTAACTCACGACAAGCTCGGCCGGTTCCGTGCAAGAGACAATTTAGCGAACAATGACGACGCTCCGCCACAAATATACTGTGTCTGACTTCATAAGTCTTCATCGTATTTAACGTGAACTCGACTTATGTGGGTGTACTTAGGTTTCAATTTTGAATAACGCGAGCTTTAAATCTTTGCGAGCGAAAATATTCAACTGCCATTTTAGTATACGAGCGACTCCGGTGGCGCCGTCTGTCGCAGGGAACTTAACAACAATGATCATCGCCATCTTTTATCTATTGTGTGCCTTTGATAATCAATATGCTTGGTTTTAAAAAGCAATTTCATTTTGTCAACACGCAGTCATGATTTATGTTAATTCATTGACGTCGTTATGGCTCCTAATGATTGTGTAGATAATTACAAGAGTTATGTAAATATTTAAGAAATGCGAACAATTAAAATATGATTCCATTCGGCAAAATATTCGTCTCTGACAACACGACTGTGGGGTAACTTTGTGTCAACATTATTAATTTATTAGGCCATATTTATAGTTTGGCTTTAAGCTTATATTTAATATTTTTGGCAAGATCAGCTTTCTGTACACACTCATTTTCCTTTGCCTTATCGTACGGACATGTGTTCATTGTGCAAGAATCGATCGGGATTCAGGGTGAGTTTCCGTTTAATATTAACACTGAAACATTAACTATTTCACGCCGTGCATTGAAAACAGCTGCGTTACATTTCCACATTCATTACTAACGGATATCTCTGATACTAAATAAACTGCCAATCTCTATAATCTTAGTTATATTTATTTTGTACTGCAATACATGTTAACAATTTGTACGTCTACAGGAATCCTACCTTTGATTGTGTAATTTTAAAAATACTCCACGGAATTCTTTATGAATTTTTAACCGAAATATCTCCAAACGTAGGAGCTGTGTTGGCCTAGTGGCTTCAGCGTGTGACTCTCATCCCAGGCCGAAGGTTCGATCCCCGGCTGTGCACCAATGGACTTTCTTGCTATGTGCGCATTTAACATTCGCTCGAACTGTGAAGGAAAACATCGTTAGGAAACCGACATGTCTTAGACACAAAAAGTCGACGGCGTGTGTCAGGCACTGGAGGCTGATAATAACAGAACAGAAACAGATTGAGAAATCTGAGGCCAATACCTATAGAGGTTGTAGTGCCACTGATTTATTTCACCTCCAAACGCAATTCGTAGAGTTTTTCTTAATTTGACTTTGTTAAAAACGCGTCATCTAAAATCAATTCCAACTTGAACTTCATTATCATAAGTAAATTAAACGCTTGATAAGGCTCCGGACCGATTCGTAACAGAACACCAATTTAAATACGTCACTAATCTTATGTTAAAGAGAATTAGAAAAATTCAATTAAAGGGCGCAGGAGCGGGACAGCACGCAAGCGGTGAAAAAGAGACAAGAAAAAATAAAAGTACGAAATGAAGCGAATTCAAAATAGCCATTAAGGTGTTAATGAGTGTCTTATTAAGCCGTCTCCCGGTGGGTGGTCCCGCCTTTGCTTTTATTCGTTAATCATCAGATCTCGCATCTAATTATCAAATTAAAGGGAATAGTTTTGTGCTTAAGCTGTGCAAGAGGGGATTAGTTATGGTTTAAGTTCTACTATCTAGATTTGTGTAAGGAATATTTAATTCTGAAATTTCTAAAAAGGGCACATATGTTTCGGTGTGTTAATTTAGTTACCTTTAGTGCCTATAGTAGTTATTTAATTTCTTGTATTTTTTTATAATGTAATTTTGGTTTTCCTAATTAAATTCGTATGTTTGCTTTTTTTGTTTCGTCTGTAAATTTTATTTACTCATTACTTCACTCTTGTCAATTTACGATCGCCTGTTAGGGCAGGATGTTTTTATAAGTAAATAAATAAATACAAAATAAAAATCATTTCTTAGTAAAAATTAAGTAGCATTTCTGTAATAATTATCACGTTTACGATTTTTACAAAGTGTAAGATTAAATAAAATATGGTTATTATTTCTCGCAGTTAATCGCAGCAAATTTTTAATTGTCTTAGAAATAAACGATATTTCCAATAGGCTTAATTGTTGATAATGATAATTTGAGTTTTCAGAACGTAATTAAAAGCGATTACTTTTACAGGCTTCTACCATAATATTAATATTAACATGTTTTAAGTGTTAAAACTTAATGCGGTAAAACCAATAGACGGCCTTTCAAATGTGAAGAATTTAAAAATAACACCAAGGAAGCAAATTCATACGGGCGGGAATATCAAATTTTTTCTTGCCGTTTTATTTGTTAAGTGAAAGAATACGATAATTTGGCAGAATAAACGACATTTTGGGTCTATGATATGTCGGTTTCCTCGACCGTTCGAGCGATTGTTAAATACGCACATAATAAAAATACCCTTTATTCGATTACTACATAATCAGGATTACGTTAAGTCCATTTCATTATATTTTACATTAATAGACGACCTCCGACGGAGTGATGGCCTCCTCCAAATTCTTCCACTTGTCTCTCATCCTCGGTAACTTTGTTCGGTTGCTATCCCTTTTATTCCATTTTTTCAGGTTTTTGGTCCTCACTTTTACCAAATTCATTCCAAACAAGTTTCTGGGTAACTAAACTCTCATTACAAGATTCACATTTGTCATATCTCCCTTGATGGCATCGAACCTATCGGTTTTTTAGTAACAACGTGTCTACTTGTATATCAGCCGCCATCGCGATGACGCAACAGTCCGTAGGTGTGTTTATCACAACATCTACGATTTGACATAAATGCGTTAGGTTATATGACAACTGATAAAACGTTGTAAGAGACCGCCTCGCCGTGATTGACACTTTGCTTGTATACATATAGATATCGAGACGCACACTTCTGTGGCCTTATCTACCGGCGACACATAAGCGCTCCTCTTATCGGACTGAAATACATGGCCGTGCAAATAAAATCTGTCAGCTCTCGTGTCAGTTTAACGCCGTAATCATTAACAAACAATGACCGGCCCATTACCCTCGCACCTCGAAAGCGTTAATTGCTCGGCATCTTCGCACTAAACGTTCGCTTGCCGACTTTAATGACTAGGCAAACAGTCGGAGTGGCCGAACGGTCACCCGCGTCCTGCCTGCGGCTCGCCCGCTCATAAATCTTCGGCTTTTCCCGATTTCCCGACGTCCCGCGGAGGCCGACGCGCGCCCTCACACTCCTATAAAATATTACCTACACGGCTCCATAATAAATCAAACAAAGGCCGAGCTAAATGCATTTATTGTTGTTTGGACACACTTACCACACCGCGCTGACCGCGCAACGCGACGCAATCATAGCTCATCGGTTTGTGGATGAAGCAGTTTCCTGGAAATTTGTTGCGACCCTTTTATTCGACCCGGAATTAAGGGTATTGCATGCCTTCCGTGCGGAGACATTCACGATTAATCTCACAATTTATTCTTGATCCCAGGAAATTGTTCTAATGTAATCTAATTGAAAGAAACAATTTTATATTTTAAGCAATTATCGGTCGTCGCTAAGCGTTCGTAACTTATTAACAATGTAAAGGTGTTTTGACCGTTATCTCGGCCGGAAGTTAAAAAAGGTGATTCGGGCGTAATTTTTGTCCGCGGCGATTCGTCGGGCATTAGTCGGATAAAAAACGAGGTGTCGATTGAAAGTAAGATATGTGTTGGGTTATTATTTCATTTGAGTTTGTTTAAGAATTGTGTGAGGGTTTTTAGGTAACGTTTTTATTATTGTAATAACGAGGCTTTTTAAGTGGGCAATGAATTATTGTGTTTAATTTATATTCGTGAATATTGGGGCCAAATTATAAACTGTTTGAGCTACTTATAAGAAGACGTAGAAATTTAATTATAATGTGTGTATATTTTTGTATATATTAACCTAATAATTATTATATAATTTACTTAAAAAAGCGTCTTTAGGTCGAGGTAAGTTTTACGGCCGGATATTTTAAGGAAAGTAGGTGATCAGCGTTCTGTATCTTTCAACTATGTAATTTTTATGCGCTGGGAACCGAGCTTAGGGCCTACATGTTAACCACTAAGGCGGTCGGCAAGGCAACCGTCGTCGATTTTTGGCGCTAAGAAAACAATTAAAACATTTGTTGTGTTTGGTTTGGTTTGACGACTCATTGGTCTAGTGATTAGTACCCCTGACGAACATCGATGTGATGAGCATTTGTTGTTGTGCTTAGGTCTTGGGTGTTTAAATATGTATTTATATGTCTATCT